TGGCTCTTTTAAAGTAGTGAAAGGTAAAACTTCTAAAGATTTACCAAAATAACGTAATCGCTGTCTATCCCGAGGGAGCAGTGTTGAGACCACGGTTCCCATGGTCTGAGGCATTCGAAGGGTGGGCTGCTGTCTAGTTGAATGACTGGACAGCGTTTTGGAAGAATGGGAGATGGGAGAAATTTTTTCCTTCTTTTCACGTCTCTCCTACCCCAGTCGCTCTGGGCCATACAAGGGTAAGAGACATAAATGAAAGTGGCATAAACCAGGAAAGTTGTTTTCGAAGCAGAATGAAATTAAAACTCGTACCAAAGCGTGTGGGTCATTCTTTTTATCCCACACCCACTTGATCCCACCCCCACCCCCGAGTGAGGAAGGCCTGCCAGGACTTGGATGCTAGACCTTCATTTACCCTGGACCCTTTCTCCTTCAGCCCTTCCCTGAAGTCCACCCAAACACGCTGACACTTCAGCAAGATGCTGACCTGAACACCGTTCAGCTCGCACAGGTGCTGAGGAATCATATCAAGTCAACCCAGATTCCAGGGGCCATTTGGGAAGGTTGTTTACAGCCAATTTAACTTGTAAGCACTGTCCTATCTTTTTGCAGTCAGTGCACGTAGGGAGACTGGTGTGACTTTGAAAGGTCCGCTTCCCATCCGAACCATCTATGCAGTGTGTAAAGTGCTTAAAGAAAAATGACTGTTAATAGCACCTGCTTTATAAAGTGCAGAATACATGTCTACAGGGATCGCATTGCTGTCCTGTTGCTGTGGGTGGTGAATGCATCTTGAAATCAGATTGCTTTTCATTTGCAAATTTATTACTAAGAGCCTGGGTGTTAGCTTTTTTCTCTCTCCTTCCCCCTCAGAAATTAATGTGATTTCTATAAGTAAGCTCAAGGCAAAATGTCACAATGTAAACCAATTAGAAAAAGCTTCCCTAATTGGTTACAATGAATATAATTACAATATTCCAGGAGCTGTGAAGTGACAGCAGAAGGGGGGGGGAGCTGTGTAAGAGATTTCAAGCCTAAGTGGGCAGAACAGAGGGTTCCCCTGGAGTAGTTAGAGCAGCTTGTAGCTTCCAGGTGTCCTACGTTCGAACCCCTCCCTCACTAAACATACAACGGTTCTCCGGGCAGATTTCTGTTTTAGGCATGTACCCTAATTCTCTCTTGAAAAGTTAAAGGAAAAAACACACACACAATTAGCCTTCTAGTCCGCTGTTTAAATGCAAAGTAGAAACTGTTCTGTAAGGGAGATGGAGGTTCTGGCTCTACCGCTAGCTGTGTTAACATCTAAGCAAGCAGAAAACGATTTTTAAAATTACCTAATCACCCATTTGGTACAGTTGCCACAAACCACAAAAAACACATTTAGTGCAGTTTGCCCTCCACTGGCCAAATCACCACATTGCTACATGGATGAAGCCTGCCTCAGAGATGTGGGCTCAGTGTCCATCTTAGTCTGAAAAGAACAATGGGGGATTTTAAAGTTTCGATTTTTGTTCAAATTGGTGTTAATGATTTTTTTTTTCTTTGTGTCTTTTAAGTTTGCAATGTTTGGACTCCAACAGTGATCTGCTCTTGAGACAGAAACGTAGCAAGGAAGCTCCCCGTTAGCGCCCACGCCCGTGCTAGCTCCCCGTTGCTGAGTCCCGGTGTGCCCCCCTGTGTGTGAGCCGGTCTCCGTGTCTGTCTTTATGCTCATTTCTCCATTTCCTCCTCTGCTTCCCATCAGCCTCCCAAAAAGATATGGGATTATACTCCTGGAGACTGCTCTATCCTTCCTAGAGAGGATAGAAAGGTAATGCGTGCCTCTCCGGGGGCGATGTGTGTGCTCCTAGCTGGTTAGTGTGAGTGTGCCGTGGGGTTTTGCTCTTATTTTCTTCAATCACTTTTTTTTTTTTTAACTTGATAACTTTTTTTTTTTTTTTTTGGCTTGGTGATAAATCTATTTAACAAAGTCTCTAAGATATATACTGATGTGTAGAGGTGTGTGTGTGTGTGTTTTAAGCAATGACTTACTCTCCTGACATGTAGTGTTTGTCACAGTCACCAGACTCTGAAAAGACAGAAGCTAGGTATTTCCCCCCGGCAGGTGCTGTGGTATTTGTAGTTCTCTGCAGCCAGGAGAAGAGAGTTCTGGAGCTCTGGTTACTGCAGGGGCTTCTGTTTTCCAGGCCTAACGCTGCATTCTCTGTCCTCGTGGCTTTTAGTCATTTCCGGGGAGCTAGCTCTTGGTTTAATCATGCCATCTCTGCTTTGTTAAACTGTCACCCTAAACAGGTTCATTTTTCAAACATAACCCTCCATTCTCTCTGCCTGTCCTCTGAACTAAAACCCTCTTTCCCATCTTTTCTTTCTTGTGCCAGACTAACCTAGACACAGAGCTCAACCTCTGCCAGACAGAGTTAGAGGCAGATGTAGGGGAGACGGAGACGCTTAGCAAAGCACCCCGTGCAGACCTGGCGCAGGTACTTCTGTTTTCCTCCTGCCGCCCTGCCTGTCCCGGGCCCTTCGGTTTGGGCTGGCGCTGAGGAGGGTGGGCTGGCGCTGAGGAGGGGAGTGTCTTGCTGATGACTGTGGAGCTGCATGGCTTTCTGGCTGCTGTTTTCCCGTCCCGTCCCCCAACTTGGTTTTTCTTTGGTTTCTTTGGAGCTTGGCAGATATTCGTGGGGTGGCTGGTGATTGCTGTCAGAGGGGCCCTCTTCCTTTCCTGCCTTCGCCTTGGGGTGCCTTCTCGGGGTTTCAGGGAGCCGTGTTTGGGCAGCTGTCATTCTTGCAGCCTTGGGAGGCCTCGGCCTCGGAGACGGTTCCCCAAAGCATGGCAGTGATTCGGCGCTGCTTACGCGCAGAAACTGTCAGAGCTTGTGGTCTGAGAGGTCAGAAAGTTCTCAATGAAAAATACGCTCCAGGGGCCAGGCCACAGCCACAGGCAGGCATCGGAAGCCCCACCTGTGCTGGCATTTCTGAGCGGAGCTGGGCCAAAGCTGGCTTAGAAAGGCGGGTCAGAGAGAGGGACCCAGAGAAGCTGGCTCCCCGAGGAAGGAAAACACTCCGTGTGGAAACAAGAGGGACCTTAGAGGAAAGCGGATCCTTACAGGAAACAGGAAAGGAATGTGGGCTCTGCTGGAGGCGGGGAGGCCACAGACTAGGGCAGGGAACAAGGGGTGTGAATGGATCGTGTTCACCTTCAGCAGAGCTGGAGAGCAGGAGGGTCAGACCACTGGCTTGAGTGACAAGGGCACCAAAAGCCATGTGAGTGCAGGGGCGTAGCCCAGGGGAGGGGAGAGAGCGTGTTACTGTGGGGAACAGGATGGGGATAGACAACACGAGCTTTGTCCAGACAGAGGGAGCCGTGGGGAATCAGTATGACACAGGAGAACGATGGGAGAACTTCATGCAGAGGGTAGGGGAAGGACTTGGTGTCAGGGCATTTGTTTGAATGTTGGTTGGGTATCACATAGAAAATATGCAGGTGACAGTTTGAAACGTGAGACAGGTTCTGTGAGACGGGCAGAGCCTTCCCAAGGCAGTTGCAGTCCCTGAGGAGAGGTGGCGGACGACATCCTGGGGCAGACAAAGACACACACAGATGGAAGCCTGTAGGGAGAGTCCTGTGGGAAGGATGAAAGATCCATTAGTACCTGTTGGGCTGTTGGTGGCAGCGGGAGAGCAGGGGAGTGTCAGAGAGAGCATTCTCCAAGATGGAGGAGGAGAGAGGAGAGGAGCGGCCTGAACATGACCAGGTGCTCCAGAGAGGCCCCCACACTGGACTCTGAGGAGCAGTCAATGAGGTAGATAATCCAGAGGTTTCTAAAAGCTTTGGGGACTGCTGAGTGGGGAGGGGGGGAAGAGTGTGTGGAGAGGATCTGGAATCCCCAGGGGTGCACACCGATTAAAATGTGATCCTGGAGGAAGGCGACGGGGTGTCCCCAGAGGGCTCAGCAGGTCACGCAAACCTCTTCCCCGAGGGAAACCAGGGCGTCGTCCAGAGGTGGGGAGACCCAGAACGGGGCAGAGGCCAAAGGTCAGGTTCACGGAGGAAGGGGGGGCAGGGGAGAGCAGGGCAGGCAAAGGGCTGGGCGGATGAATGCAGATAAGAGGGGTGCCTTCTCTGAGGAGCATGGGGGGAGAGGGTGGGGACCTCCTGGGGTGGAGGTGCCCTCAGAAATGACAGCTCAGCAGGCAGAGGGCAGCTGGCTGAGCCTCTGAGGAAGGTCAGCTCCTTCCTTCGCAGTCTCTTCCTTTTATCCTGGTGTTCCCTTTCCTCCAACATCTCCCCTCCAGGTAGTTTGTTTTCCTTGTGATGGTCAGCATTAGAGATAGGAACATCTTTAAAAGTTAACTTTTTCATTGATTTATTCAACCACCACTTTATTTTTAAGAGCCAATATATTGAACCCTTTGCTTGTTTCCCTCCAAGATAATAGAAACCCTAAATAAACTACACAGTGTGTTCTTTTTCTCTGCATGTAAAGCATTCCCCACTGAGGCTGAGGTGGTCATTAGCATTTGTAAATCTGCATTTCTCCCCATTTTTGCACTTTGAAGTCTCCAGGGGCAGACAAACATTTAAACCCAGTGTGGTCTTTCAAAATACGTTTTTGTGCATTCTGTACCTAATGTTTTGGGTGACCCTCTTTCTGGATGTGGCATCTGGGGCGCATGAAGGAGTTGGCAGGGGTCTGAGGGTTGGGGTACGCTGGGGGAGGGTGTGCCATGTCATTAATGCATGTTGGCCACATGGTGGGCCTGTCCCCCAGTGGGCCCAGGAGGCCACCTCCTGACCCACCCGGGGAGCCGCGATGCAGCCACTGGGAGGTCAAGGCCAGAGACAAAGAGGCCCCTCCCTCCGGGCCGGCGACCTCTCCAGCCAGGCCCCCTCCACCCAGAGGCCCTGGCTAAATTAGGAAGCGAAAGGGACGCCCTTGGCTTAGAACATCTGAGTCCAAATAAATCACATACACTTTTCTTTCTCTTTTATACGTTTACAGAGCTCAGCGGTCAGCCCCACTCCGGACATGTCTTCAGAGCCTCCTGGATAGTAAGTTGCCCCTTTGTTTCTACGGCTCCCTGTATGGACTGTCCAAATGAGAGAAGCTGATGATTCGGAGCTGCGTGTGTGTGTGTGTGTGTGTGTGTGTGTGTGTGTGTGTGTGTGTAGGCAGCAGTGTAATGGATTTGAGTGATGTACAGTATCGTGATAAATAGCAATTCAGTTCTGGTCTTTAATTTTTTTCTTCCGTTTTCTCCTCCTCTTCCAAGTGAATTTTGTGACGATTCATATTAACCTTGATAAGCTTTACCTTTAGAACGTGAGCAGATTGACGTGCGTTCAGGATCAAAGTTCACCTCATTTGCTGATCTTGTGGGGGGAGGTGTGACTTTGGGGGCTGAGGGTGGGGTTCGGGTCCTTGGCCTGGACCTGTCACAGGCAAAGATGGGGCCGAAAGGGAGCTCCCTGGTCTGTTTCTCAGCAGTGTGGCTTCATTAGGGTCCTCCCTGGGTGATGGCAGCCTTTCCCAAACCTCCTGCCTCCTCTCTTCCAAATCAGCCAGCCCATCTCCCAACCTCCCGCACCCTCTCCCAGACTGTGTCTCAGAACTTGGCCATGCAGCTGTTTTCCCAGCTGCCAATGGGTCAGTGCTGCCTGCCCCCTGCACACACGGTAAGGTGCCAGCATTGGAACCAGTATGAGAAGCCCTAGCTGAGCCTCTCTGTACCAGTCTCAGGTAGGAGCTGTTAGGACCCTGACTTCCGCTGCTGTGTCCGAATTGTGTTATTATGTTTGTATAACAATAAATCATACACTCCTCGGGAGCGAGGACTGCACCTCCATCGTGCTGGGTGCACCCGTAGGTCAGGGCGTTTGTTCTGGTGGGAGCAGCTCATCTCATCACCGCTGTGTCTGTAGCTTATGCTTCAAAATGTGACCAGAAGGGGAGCAGCGTTTTGCTTGTTCCATTTGGGTTGGGCAGATCCACATTAGCCACGCTCACCTGTGCAGACCAAAGCCTGGCTTGCTCTGGATGCTGAATGTATGGGTATGTGTGACAAACCGTACGGTCACTTGGGCATTTTGCAAGAGTAGTTTCATTTGAAAGTTGATTAACTGTGTTTGAAGTATTTCACTGGAAAATACCCTTCCTCCTCTCAGGGAAGTGACCAATTCTCTAGCCAGATCTATTAATATTTCTTCTATAAATGTGCATATTAATGGTTATGATTAACAGACCCCAGAGTCTGAGAAGAAATTGGGACGGTGTATTAGGACAGCAGTTAGGGGAAAGTTTCCTATCTTAAAGGACAGTTCCATCTTTGAGAAGGTTGGTATCGTCTCTTGGGCTCACTGTTGGATTGGTCATCCGGCCACCGGTGTGACAGAGAAGAATCAGAGTTCAGCTATATCCTCAGGCTGCCTGCCCCCCCCCCTCCACCTTGGGCTCTGAGGCTCACTCTGTTTTAAGGAGATAGCTGAACTATGCCTTCAGCTCCAAGGATGACCAGTCCCAGGTCCTCCAGGCCCCAGACATGAACCCACAGACAGCCTCAGGCTCTCTGCAGGTGAAGGGCTTCTTCAGGCCACAGCTCCCAGCAAACTCTCCTGGTCCCTCAGGTCACCTGTTGGTCAGCACCAAAGCTTGTCACTTTGGTGACCCTGACTGCCCAAAGCCTGGTTGGACCAGATCTCTCCCTGCCCTGCTGGTCCCAGGATTGCATAATGTAAGCCTGCTGCCCGCTCTCCCCTCTACCTCCTGGCCCCATTCCTTTCCCCGAAATGCACAGACAAAAAGGCTGTTTCAAGTGGCCTTGGCTTCCTTGGACCAAGGCACTATGCTAGGTAATAAATAGGAGCATAATTGTCCCTTAGTAGTTTGGGGGGTAAAAACCAAAAAAGGAATGTTAGTAAATAAGAATGTAAAGTAGGTCCTAGCTACTTTGGCTCAGTGGATAGAGTGTCAGCCTGTGGACTGAAGGGCCCCTGGTTCAATTCCAGTCAAAGGTACATGCCGTGTTGCAGGCTCAGTCCCCAGTAGGGGGCATGAAGGAAGCAGCCAATCAATGATTCTCATTATTGGTGTTTCTGTCTCCCTCTCCATTCCTCTGTGAAATCAATAAAAGTATATAAGGGAGGGAGGGAGGAAGAGAGGATGGAAGGAATTAAGGATTAAGAGTATTCAGAAAAAAAGCAGTGCCCAGTCTGTCAGTTAGGCACACAGGTCTTAAAAGAAGTGGTGAAATGAACAACTTATTCAGCATATACTCCAGGCACTATGCTTAGCTTCCAAAGCTAACCTCTCAACATTCCAGGACCAGGCATCTTTTTAACCTGCATTTTGCAGGTGAGGAAGCAGGCAGTGTGACACCCATGGCCTGCAGCTGGTGTGGGACTGAATTGTTCCTCCAAGTTTTAGGTCAAGGCACTGGTGTCTGCAGTGCGCTCTCACTGCACCACACTGACAATAAACTAATAGCATCCCATAATTTACTGTCTTTCACATGAGTGAGAAAACCATTATGCAACTATTTGTATTAGCAGGATTGAGGGGCCTAATGCCGAAAAGAGCAAATGGCTGTCAGACTCTGAGGATTTGTGTGCATAAAGCTATCTGATGTGCTAATTTTCCCCGCACTCCTATTTCTATCATTGGAACAGGTCTCCAAAGACCTGTTCTTTTCAGCCTTACTCTGGCTCACTTGAAATATGTGGCAGGGGTAGATGAGGGGGTTTTTCCTCCTGCTATTCGACCATTTAAGAATTTACTAGAAATTTGGGCTCGGTTTTCTCCCAGTTTGCTCAAATGAATCAGGTTTTCCTGTATTTGGAATTGGTGAGAAGCCAGCCTAAGTGCAGTGCCTGAGGCATAGCAAAGTGCACACAAAGTGTTTGCTGAGTAAATGAAGCATCTGGAAGACTTAATTAACTAGAATCCAACTCAGCACCAAGGCCGGCAACTTGTGGATTGAATCTGGTTCCCTTCACCCGAGGGACAGGAATGACCTGCTGAAAGAAACATTGGCAAAGGCTTGACTTAACCCAGGAACTGAAGAAAGAGGAATCCTATGGCCCAGGTGCAAAGCTGTGGTCAGTGAAGAAGTGGTGGTGCTGCTTTGAGTCCACTTTAATATCTTGGAGAGACTTTAGTCTAGAAATTTATTATTAATTTGATTACATATCACAATATTAAAAGAACCTGGAAACAGAGAGGAAGAAATTCACCCCTTGTTCCAATATCCTAATACAATCTACCAGTCCTTCCTCTCAAAAAAAATATATTTTTTATAGTTGTGATCACAATGCATTTGTATTTTATTTCTGTGGAATCGCCAGATCTATTAATCAACAGTGTAGCCTACTCTTCTTCCTCATTGCTTAGCATTTCAGCATTGGTAGGCTCGAATACAGTCTTTGCCTAACCAAAGAGCTTTACTTTAGATGGCCAGTAGGTGGCACTCAAGCCGCAGCATCCCTAAGTGGTGATGGTGCACTAGAAAAAAACACCCTTTCTCCTTAATCTAACTTAAGATCAAAACACAAATCATTGCCTGGAGAACTTGATGAAATATTAGAAACTTCCCAAGGCTTAAAAATGTCTCATAAATCTGTGTGTGTGTGTGTGTATAGGCATTTAATTTTATGGAATCATTTATTCCAATAATATTTATTGAACAAAGGTGCTAGACACCAGCCGTGCAAAGGCTAGTCAGTTAAACTGCCTCCCTCAAGGGAAGAACCCATGTAATGGGAGGCAGGCTTGTAAAGAGCCGTCAGAACCCAGTGCGGGGCAGGCAGTGATGGAGCCAGAGGGAGGGAACGCCTGTTTCGTGGAGGAAGAAAGGTTCACTTTACAGAGGAGCAGCCAATAAAAAGTGATTAATAATGACATCATAACAAATAGAAAGGTAATTTTTTTTCATGCTATGAGAGGCTAGACGATGAACTGCCCTCCCCGTATGGACTAGACGCCATTTCCCATATCCAGTTAAAAACTGTTATTTTTTGTTTCTTCCTGAAAACACAAGATGGTTTTGAACAGTGGATTCCATGAGGCTGGGATTTTTTTGTCTGTTTTGCTCCTTATTGGTTCACCACCTAAGAGAGTGATGGATATGTAGTAGGTGCCCAGTAAATACTTGTTGAGTGAATAAAATGAGCTATGGAATGGCATGGTGAGATCTTCTCTGGAAATATCACTGGCAGCAGTTTGCAAAGATGATTGGAGGGAAATGGGGTGGGGCCTGGGGGAGGGGTGGTGTGCGTATTGCACAGGTGTCGGTGAGTGGCGTGAGGGGGGGACCAGGGAGGCAGAGACGGAAGGGATTAATGTGAGCCGTGTCAGGACGGAGTAAGCAAAACGTGCTGAAGTTTGCAGGGGAAGGAGGGAGGTGAGGGGGTGATTTTCAGGGCTCTCTGGCCCGGGTGATGGAGGAACGGAGCTGGGTTTGGTTTGGAAGGTGTTGGGTTTAAGATGCCTGAGGAACATCTAAGTGGAGCTGTCTAGGAGGCAGTTGAGTGTGTGTATCTGGAGGTCAAAAGGAATGTCTGTGTATATCTAGAGGACAAAAGGGATTGGAAGGTGGACTTTTTGGACAGTCTCACCGCACCTGATAGTTTGGCAGAGGAAGGAAATGGAGGCAGAGAGAAACAGATTGACTCTTCAGGTTTGTAAAGTGAGCGGTTTGCCTCCACTGCTCACATTCCCTGTTGGAGTCAGGCTGGAATCCCTCCCCAGCCAGTGGATTGGAAACATTCGGCCCTAATATGATTGCTCTGTTTTCTCCCTTTATTCTTAGAGTGAGTTTCTGTTGAATCCCTTTGAAACTCGGCAGCCAGCACTGCCTCTTAGCCAGGGGGTCCATTCTCGTCACTGCCTCCTGCTGGCCTGCTCTTCCCCAGCCCAAACTGCTCCACCCGGCTGCAGAGCCGAGCTTCTGGGCCTGGCTCCTTTTGGTGACTCGGTCTTTCTCGGCCAGACTGAGGTACTTACCTCACCCGCTCTGACCTATTCGGACACACTCTTTGACCTTTGAACAAATGCCTTCCCCACTCCGGTCCTCAGTTTCCCCTTCGGTAAATGGACAAATGGTGTCTGTCTTTCCAATGAGGAGGTCTGGGGAAGGTAATGCATTTGGAAACACTGTACCGGAGCTTTTAGACGTTGTTTTTAGACAAGTTGCAGAAGTGTCACACATCTGGAAAAAGTAAGTCAGTTTCGGTATCAGAAAGAAAACAATTGGCCATAGCAAGTCCATCCTGAGAGGTTTCCTGAGGGCTTCAGGCTTGTCGTTCTGGTGGGAAACAGGAAAAAAAATGGTGATAATGGTGGAATAAAGCCAGAAAATGGGGTGGCGTTGATGGGGAGGGGGAAAGGGGGGTGAGTTCTGACAGTGGGTGAGGTAGGGGAGGTGTGAGGTGAGCAGTCGGTGTCATGGTCGAGAAGTTAGGAGGAACGAGGGGAAATGGGTCAGATGTTCTGGCTGAGGGTAGAAGCCACTGTGGGGGGTCACTGTGCTGAGGTCTGGTCACCCCAAACCAGAGCTTTCGAGGTGCTCCTCTCACAAAAGCTACCTCGGTCCACAGCTGATGGTTGGCAAGCCTGAAGGACGCCTGTCCGTGGGTCTTTCTGCGGATGGAACGGACAGAGGAGACATGGGCTGAAGCTGAAGGACAAAATCAGGAACTGCAGCCAAAACTAGAGGGTGGATGGTGAAAGGGAAGTTTCAAAAAGAGGCAGATTTCTTTTCAATTAAGAAGTTCAAAGGGAACTCCAGGTTAGATGACTCGAACTGGTCTAAATCGGCATGGCCAGCTTGCCAGTCTCCTGAAGGTCCTCCCCTCGCTAACTAGAGTGGGTGGCTTTGGTCAGTCAGAACGGGGACATCTGTGAATGCCCCGCAGGCAGAAGCCGCAGAGCCCAGAGCTGTGTGGGCGGCAGCCCTGTCCCTCGCCTGGGAAAGCCAAGCCTGTTTGTCTCCAGGCGGAGTGGGCCTCCAGGCAGAGCCCCCAGGCCCCCGGCCACCTCGTCCTGCAGCCCTGCTCTCTCCACTGCGCCGATGGCCTGAGGTCATGGACGCCAGGAGCTCAGAGCCCCAAGTAAATGCACATAGTTCTTGCACTAGAGGAAGAATTCCTGAGTACGGCATTTCACAGATCAAACCATGTTCTTTGTTGTTATTGTTAATCCGCACCCAAGGATATTTTTCCATTGGTTTTTAGAGAGTAGAAGGGGGGCGGGGGTGGGGGGGAAGAGACTAAACATTGACCCATCACCTCCCACACACGCCCTAACCAGGGCCAGGGATTGACCCTACAACCAAGGCGTGTGCCCTTGACCAGAATTGAACCCGGAACCTTTCTGTCGCTATGGCTCAGAACATTCTTAATCAGATCACATGTGCCAAATTTGCTTTCAGAAAATGTGACCTTTTATTCATTCAGCAAATATATGCTGAGTGTCCTCATGGGCCCTGTAGTCCAGTGGACCCTTAGAGACCAGGGCACGGCCTGGGGAGAGACCGCCCCGGCTGCTCTGTGGACTCACTCCACCCGCCTGCTTGTATGTTCTCAGCTGTGAGGGCTGATTCTCTTTTCCCTTGGATTCCGTTTCTGTGGTGTATGAGCCTGGGTTCGGGACAGATTTGGGGGGTAGGAGGGGAGATTCCTCCATAGTCATAGAGAGATGTTCTAGAACGGCAGCTGAGAGCTCTGTGTGGTGCTGCACATCCTGTCAGGGTCCAGACCTCTCATTCCACTAAACCTCACCCGCTCCCACCACAACCCCAGTCACTCCGCCCCGAGTGGGGCTCCCCCTCTGGAAAAGGGGGGACCGGGTTGTTTGTGAGGATCAGAGGAATCTGCTGTGATCGCTGGGGAAAGGGGAGGCAGGGACAGATGTGGATAAGGCAGATGCAGCCCAGTGGACCTTGGGGAGTGGGCGGGCAGGGCTCATGGTTGTTCACTATTAAAACTTAAGCATTTCTATGCACGTGGTAATATTCATGATAAATATTGGGAGGAAGAACCCACCAAGCTGTTGACATCTTTGGAGCTGAGAATTCCAGCAAATGGAGCTTAGTAGGACCGAGCAGCAGCCTGCCCGAGGCCTGGGCATGTGTGCGGGGAGGGAGTCCTTCCCCATGTGAGTGGCATCCACCTGTCAGTGTGTCCGAGGCCGAGGGCACAGGACACTGGGACTCGGGGAAGGGGCGGTTCAGTGTGTCAGTGTTCTTCACTCTTCCTGGGCCCCACCTCATTCCAAAGGGGATTTGTGGTGACTTGCAAAATACCCAGGATTTCAACAGGATAAAGTAAGTGAAGGCTGTGTCAGTGAGTGAAGGGTGCGATAGGTGTGTCTCATGTCATCATGTTCTGCCTGTGAATCTTTTTTTTTTAAATATATTTTATTGATTTTTTACAGAGAGGAAGAGAGAGGAATAGGGAGTTAGAAACATCGATGAGAGAGAATCATCGACCAGCTGCCTCCTGCACACTCCCCACTGGGGATGTGCCCGAAACCAAGGCACATGCCCTTGACCGGAATCGAACCCAGGACCCCCCAGTCCACAGGCCGACGCTCTATCCATTGAGCCAAACCAGTCTCGGCTGCCTGTGAATCTTGAAAGCAGTGGGTGAGAGGTGGCTGGCACCGTGAGAGCAGAGAGAGCCCAGGTTCCCTTTTGCTTGGTGGCTGGCTTTCCTGGAGCCGCAGCTGGGCCTCCTCTTTCCATGGTTGATTTTAATGCTTCATCAGCCAAAGAGAAATAATCCAGAAAACCAATCCAAGTGGTGGACTTAAAATTACCAACATGGTCAGAGGCTCCACTTAATTATTTTTATACATATGTATATTTTATTGATTTCAGAGGGGAAGAGAGAGAGAGAGAGAGAGAGAGAGAGAGAGAGAGAGAGAGAATCATCAATGATGAGAATCATTGATCTGCTGCCTCCTATATGCCCTGCACTGAGGTTCAAGCCCACAACCCAGGTATGTGCCCGGACTGGGCATCGACAGTCAACCACTGAGCCACACCAGCCAGCCCCCACCTATACTCTTGACTGCCCCATCCTGTGTGCAGCACCTGGGCCCCAGCAGTGTTTCTCAGTTATTCTGTCTGTGAAAGCACAAATGCAGTCACTCAGTCAGGGGCACCCGTGGGCCTGCCTTGCCTGTCGAACTTGACCTCTATGTAGGAACACTCCTTAGAAAGGGCGGTGCTTGGTTAGGAAGCCGGAAAGTGTGTTCCTTATCCTCAGCTGGAAATGTACTTTATAGAAAAATGTTAAAAAATACTAACTCCTATTCTTTTTTTTCCCTCCCTCTTCTCTCTTCCTTTTAAAACCACATTGTTCTTAGTATATATTCTTCCAACTTCCACGCAGTGAAGAGGGAATCGGATGGGGCTCCTGGCGACCTCGGGAGCCTAGAGAATGAGAGGCAGATTTATAAAAGCGTCCTGGAAGGTGGAGACATCCCTCTCCAGGGCCTCAGTGGGCTCAAGCGCCCGTCCAGCTCGGCCTCCACGAAAGGTAACCCCGAGAAGCCTGCAGGCCCCTCGCCTGTCCGCCGCCATCGGGTGTCTCTCCCTCCCGCAGTTACCGGGTGTTGGCGGGGGAAGCTCCCGCCACTGGAGTCACTTTGGTCTCGTGCAGGTCCACTTCCAGGCTCTGAGCCTTCCTGGTCCCTCCCCTCTCTCACCGGCCATTTTTCTTTCTGGTATTAATAGTTCTCCGCCTCTAATCCCAGCCTTGCTCTCCCTGAAGCATCTCTCTCTCTCTTTTTTTTTTTTTTTTTTTTTTTTTGTTCTGATTCCCTTTCCTTAGAAATTAGCTGAGCTTTAGCCTTTCCTGACTCTAGCAAGGTGGCCATTTTTTCGTTGCATTTTGCACTTGCTTTGCAGCACAGATTATTTTGCTTCTGGACATCGACTGGAAATTTAAAATAAAAACACCTCATGACAAATGAGCATGTTACCTCTCCCTTTTTTTTATTTTTTATTTTTTAGCAGCTTTCTGCTTTAACCTAATGGGTCTGTTTATTTTATTCTGCATGCTTTCCAGTGGATCGTAAAGGTGGGAATGCTCACATGATTTCTTCATCTTCAGCTCATAGCCGAACGGTTAGCACTAGCAATGCCTTAGGCCCCGTGTGTAAGCACAAGAAACCCCTGTCTGCTGCAAAAGCCTGCATTTCCGAAATCCTCCCCTCCAAGTTCAAGCCCAGGCTCTCCGCTCCCAGCGCTCTCTTGCAGGAACAGAAGAGTGTCCTGCTGCCGGCGGAAAAGGCTCAGAGTTGTGAGAACCTCTGTGTCTCCGTGTCTTTGAACGGCTCCAAGAGAGGGCTCCCCCTGCAGGTGGGGGGAAGCATCGAGAACCTGCTCATGCGCTCCCGGCGGGATTACGACAGCAAGTCCAGCAGCACCCTGAGCTTGCAGGAGTACGGCTCCAGCGCCAGGAGGCCCTGCCCGCTCTCCAGGAAGGCGGGGATGCAGTTCACCATGCTCTACCGGGACATGCACCAGATCAACCGAGCCGGCCTCTTCCTGGGCTCTGCCTCCTCCTCCAGCGTGCGGGACCTGGCCTCCCACTTCGAACGGAGCAGCCTGGGCCTGGGCAGGGGCGAGCTGGGCCCCAGCCAGGAGGGCTCAGAACACATCCCCAAGCACACCGTCTCCTCTCGCATCACGGCCTTCGAGCAGCTGATCCAGCGGTCACGGTCCATGCCGTCCCTGGACGTGTCGGGCAGGCTGAGCAAGTCCCCAACGCCCGTGCTGTCCCGGAGCGGCCTGACCGCAGCCCGCTCCGCCGAGTCCCTGCTGGAGTCCACCAAGCTCCGGCCCCGGGAGGTGGACGGCCTGAGCCCCGGGGGGGCCTACGCCTCCCCGGCGTGCGGCAGCGTGGCGGACTCCCCCTTGGGGTTCAGGGGCCTGGCGCCCTCGGAGCCCCTCTCCACCTGCTCCGACGAGCTCGACCACTGCTCCAACGTCTCCAGCGATAGCAGGGAGGGCAGCGGCGGCAGCGTTCACGGGGACTTCCCCAAACACCGCCTCAACAAGTGCAAGGGCACCTGCCCCGCCTCCTACACCCGCTTCACCACCATCCGCAAGCACGAGCAGCAGGCCTCCCGGCAGCCCGACTGGCGCCCGGACTGCAGAGGGGACCGCAGCGCGCTGCTCAGGAACATCTACCTGATGAGCCCCCTCCCCTTCCGGCTGAAAAGGCCCCCCCAGCAGAACCCCAGGCAGCCTGCCCCCGGGGACTTCTTGGGCAGGAAGCCGGACCTCCCCGGGCAGTCCCAGCAGGACGAGCCCCATACCGGGGGGAAGCCCCTGGTGCCCAGGCGCCTGTCTTCCCGACACGCCATGGCCAGGCTGGGCCGGACCGCAGAGCCCCCTCAGGAGAGACCCGCAGCCCCCGAGGACTGCCCAGGGGCCTTTGATAATGGGAACCCCATGCCGTACTCAGACCACGGCCTGGACAGAAACAACAACCCACCCGGGGAGCCGGGACCGTCCCTCGGAGGTGGCCTTTTGTGTCTTTGCCCAGTCTCCGCTCCCGTCTCCGCTCTGCTTGCTCTGTCCCCTCCTCCTGTGTGCCCTTGGTGCTCATCTTCTGGTCCGTCCTTTGTTTTCTGTTTGTTTTGCTTGGCAATGAATCATGGCTCGTAGTGGCTGCACTTCTTCAAAAACAAAGCCCCCATGTCATCTAGACTAACCTCCAAACTGTTTCGAAAGAAAAATTGGCCGCTTAGCTCCCCTGAGAAATTGGTTCGTTGGAACCCTTGCGCCCCTTGCCGTTTGCGCCAACCCCGACTCCCCGTGGTTTTTTGAGAGGCAGCCTCTCCTGGTGGCCCTGTGTGTGTGTGTGTGTGTGTATGTGTGTGTGTGTGTGTGTGTGTGTGTGTACAGTGTCCCTGTGAGATCCTGCACGCCTCTTCGCAGGGACACTTGTCCGAAAAGGTCCTCTCTTTTTGCTCACCTTTTGCCTTCTAAGGAGTTTTGTATTACACTACTTCACGAGTGAATCCAAAACATGGGGGGAATTCAAGGGTTCTTTCCTTTGGAATTTGATTATTGATCACTGGTCTCTACAGCTGTAAAAAAAAAAAAAAAAAATCTTGCTATTTAGAATGGATGAAAGGTGAAATCTTTTCCCAGTTTGGTTTCCCACTGAATCTTTGCCTGTTTTAATTCCACTTTGTTCTTTTGAAGATTCAGAATCACCAAGACATTTTATACCAGCTGACTACTTGGAATCCACGGAAGAATTCATCCGGAGGCGTCATGACGATAAAGAAGTAAGTGCCATCTCTAAAACCTCTTGGCTTTGGGGCAGATAAAAACATGAAGGAAGTGAACATCCCAGATATCTGCCAGAGAGAGGACATGGCCTAGCAGTTGGAAGCAAAGATTCGCTTTGTCAGAAGTGACTTTTTATGTGACATTGGCTCAGTCAGGCTTCTTTTAGTCCTCTTTCCCTTAAAGTAGATTTTCCCAAGGCACTGGGTTCTGAATGCTACGTTGCCCACCCTGTTTTGCTCTTTGCTCTTTCATTCCTCCTCCATACCCTGGCCTTATTATTCTCCAGGGAAATCCTCTCACATGTTCCTCCAGTACTGCCATCCTTTTGTTGGCACCAAGTATGGTGCATGTTGGGAAGGGTGCAGTAGGCAAAAGCGGAAACTGGAGAGGAATAATGACCATGTACATACTGTGGTCACTAAAAGGCAGCCATTTGAAGTTGCCTTTGAACACAGAAGAGATGCCCCAGTAAATGTTGGTAAACCCCCACCAAGAGCTTCAGGCTGAGCCCTTTCCTTGCAGCGGTGGAGGCATAGCTGACAGGGCAGGGAAAGCAGTGCGTGCCCTTGGGATTTAGGAGGCGGCCACGCTGGCCCTCCGTTGACTGGGCCACATCGCAGCATCTGCTGTACACAGTGTTGGTCCGAGGCGAGCTTTCTAGGCTTTGCGTCCCCAGGAGAATGTGTCCTGTAGCGGAAACAGGCTGCACTGCCTGTTGCTGTCCTGAGTGAAGAGGTGGAGGAAGGCTGAAGCCTGGCGGCAGCAGGAGGTAGAGGGTATTCATGTCTACACAGTTCTTCCTCTCTCTGCAGAGCCTGAAGTCCCTGGTGGTTCTGTTTCATAGTGGTTTCAGGGTCTGAGTGGGTTTTCCTTAAGGATTGTGGGTGAGGCCAACTTTGGGGAGAGCTGGATGGTGCATCAAAAGACAAATAAGACATGGTCTCCCCTCTCCGGCATAACGCAGGCAGTATTCAGTAAGACTCTGGCCTGCGTCCATGGGAGAAAGAAGAGGAAGGATCTATGAATAGAGTAGTTGGTAATAACAAGGTGAAAAGCTCGGACCCCGTGAGTGTTCATGAGGCCACAGAGCAGATTCGGTTCTCGTCACCGTCTGAGCCACAAGAGCTGCCCTGCAGCCGGAAGCCGTGCCGGAGGAGGCATTCCCACTGTGTAGACTGTGCCCAGCTCGGGATGATTTGTGATAGAATGCCGCCTGCCGCCCTGGAGGCTGTTTTACGCAGCTGGTTTAACCATTTGGTATGTTGAGAGGTAACATTCAGAAGGTGCACAGGCCCTTAAAAACTACGTCTTTCCCAGGGTATTGGCTTATGTGGTTAAACCAGGAGGAATGTGGATTTATCGAGGTCACATTCAAGTGCTCCATTCCCTGTCCACCTTCTCTGGCTTCACGTGACCTTGGCCAGAGCACCAGAGGTCTGGCCTCAGCATCAATCCATTCCCCCTTCCCAGCTAACGGAGCGCCGGTGCTGGCGTGTTTCTAGCAAACGCTTTCTTATTCACATTGACATTGATGATGGTGGCATTCCAGGAAAAGGTCATGTCAGCCCTGGCAGGGACATCCGTGGTCATCCAGTCACCCCCTTGTTCATCCAGGAAGGGATGTGAGAGGTGGTGGTTGCCAGGCAGAGCTGGAGACCAGGGCTCCCTGTGCTTACAGAGCACCTCCTGGTCTTGTCTTATTTCATCTCCACCACAACTTACTGAGCACTGGAAATCCACAAACTAAACTCAGTTTCATTTCACCTAATGAAGAAATAATAATGTTTAAAAGTATAGCAAGAAAGTAACAGATGCTCTGCCAGTCAAACATGGCCTTGGCTGAGGCCTCCTAAAAGCTGTGCCCAGAGAAGATGGCTGGCCTCGAAGAGGAGCTGTTTGCTGAAGTGGGCAGCTCCACTCTGTCCAGCATCTTAGAGTAACAGGCATAGGAAGCACAGCAGTGACCTCGTTGGCCTTGACCCCACAGAGTAAACACCCATAGCAGGTGTAGTAGGTCAGATGTGGGTAGAGGAGTCAGCCAGCCCCAGTCCCACTGTGGGAACAGCTGTGGGAACTCACGCTGCCCCACGAGGTAAGGGCAGCACTGCCAGCCTCCTGCCACGGGCCCAGCATGCGTCTGGATGCATGGATGGACCTGGGCCACCTGGCCTTGCTGCCCGTGTGAGGAGGTCAGAGGTTTTGGGCTGTGCCAGGGGCAGGTTGCAGACCGTGTAACTGGGTGGACTTTTCCTTCGCCGTGTCCCACTGTCCCCCGGTTTCTCCTGTGCAGGGTTGCCTCCTTCCTACTCGGAGTGGCACCGGGGGGTGGTCATAGTGGAACATGACCATTAAGCCCTTCCAGCGTTTAACCCTTGAACTTCCCTCCTGTTGACCCAGCACCTTCTCCTCAGTTGTTTCTGTTGGCAGTTTTCCAATGCCCTGGACCAGATGATTCACTGCCCATTTTATGCAATTTCATGGCAGAAACTTTTAGCGGACCAGCGACGACTTAAGCGCGAGCAAGAAGAGGCGGATATCGCAGCTCGACGCCACACGGGCGTCATTCCGACGCACCATCAGTTTATCACTAATGAGCGCTTTGGGGACCTCCTCAATATAGACGATACGGCAAAAAGGAAATCTGGGTCAGAGGTCTGTTTTGGTCGCCTCGGATCTGCTTCTTGACCCAACGCCATATTTGCCTCCCCTCAGCATCGCTCGCTGTAGGCCGAATTAGTTCTGTCATCCTGGCTTCCCTAGGCTCGCTTTGGCTCGCTATGCCTGGTCCGTGGACATGAGTCCCATCATGTCCTATGCTCTGTATGTTCAAGCATGCCTGGCTGCGGGACCGGGGTCTGCTGGCACACGCCCTCTGCATGCCTAGAGCATCGGCTGCCTCCATACGTCCACTCGTCCACATCCTGCCTTTCATCTTGATACCGTGTTGCCTGTGCATTCTGCTTAGAAACCTTCGGCCTTGGTCCCTGGGCGTTAGCTTCGGTGTGGCCAAGGACAAGGTTCTTCTAAGAGATGGGGGAGTGTAACGTAGGTTACAGAAGTTAGCTAGCATTGCATCTTTTACACCGACCTCGAAATGTAGTCCCTTACCATTGAACTGTCAGAGCCATGCTGCATCAGTGGTTCAGTGAGGCACTGGGTTAAGTGCCCAGCAGCCTCACTGGCGCATTTTAAAACTGAGGCGTTTTGCAGCTGGATGAGCTCATGGAGGGTGAGAGGCATTCCATTTGTTCCCTTAATTTTGACATTTCTCAGCTGAGGTTATGAAATTTAATATCATAAAACAAACAAAGAAGCAGAAACCTTTGAAGTGATGTTGTTCAGGCCCGGCCTCCTCCCCTGAGGTCAGCATGTTGAAATCCTCGTGCTGCCAAGGCTGCCTCTTGCACCAGAGTTCGTTTTGCCACGTGACCCTCCAGGGGCCCTGCTGAGGTTGGCTCCTTTTGGGGGCCTGCGTGCCTGCGGCTTGGGCTGTAGAAATGAGTTCCACCCAAAGTATAGACAGTTTTATCATCTTTCAATTTCATAGTAGATGAATACTCATTTTTCTATCTTTTTTTTTAATATATATTTTATTGATTTTTTACAGAGAGGAAGGGAGAGAGATAGAGAGCTAGAAATGTCGATGAGAGAGAAACATCGACCAGCTGCCTCCTGCACACCCCCTACTGGGGATGTGCCCGCATCTCAGGTACATGCCCTTGACCGGAATCGAACCTGGGACCTTTCAGTTTGCAGACCAACGCTCTACCACTGAACCAAACCGGTTTGGGCTCATTTTTCTATCTTTTGAGTGACAGAGGCGGCACTGGCTAGTGGTCAGATTGTCTGGGAAGAAGAGGTAGAGAAAAGGAGGAGCCAGATTAGAAGATGGGAAGCTAGAGAGGGGACGGAGACTTTGACATGACGGGGAAAAGGTCATAGGAAGAAGTAGGAGGTCATAGGTAGGAGTTCGCAAGGTTGGTTAGTTTCGAGAGAAGGACGCCTTTCGGCCTCTTGTGCCAGCTTCTCGAATCCACCGGTTCTGAGGCTACAGTGGTGGCTGGTCCTCTCTGGGTGGGCTCTCTCGAGAGCGGTGAGGAAGATGGGAACACGCCAAGGCACCGAGGCCTGCACACTCACACGGATAGACAGCACACGGGCGTGAGAATGCAGCTGGGGTAGAATAACCATGACAGAGGCAGGCACACTGCCCAGCCGCCTGCCTCCCCGACAGCAGTGGTTCTCTCACCCTGAGTTATCAAATCCCTTAGGGGCTTGTTCACATACAGGAGGCTGGGCTCTGTCCACAAAGCGTCTGATTCTGGCCTGAGAGTGTGCATTTCTAACCAGTTCCCAAGTGACGTTGGTGATACCGGTTTAGGGACCACACTTTGAAAATCACTGCCCTCGATGTTGGCTGACAGACATGAGAAAACGGACACCAACAAGTCCCAGGGCACCAGGCCATGTAGACACACTACAGACCCGTCACATAGACTTTGGGTGACCACTGGTTCTGCGCAAGGCCCTGTGGGGAGACGGGACCGAGACTCAGGTTGTGCCCTTGGGAAGCTGGCAGTCCAGCAGGAGAGGCCCCTCCAAACAGGTGTCTGTGGTAGGAAGAAGGAAGGGGTGTCTCTGCTGTGGTAGGGAGCACAGCGCTGTGGGAGCCAGAGCATCCAGCCTCAGGGAGATTAGGAAGACAGAGGGAGATGCTGTACAAGCAATGGTGGCTCAGGTAATACGTCCCAGCAGGTCAGTGAAATCAGTGTTGCTCAGCGTTGAGTAATAGATGGGTTTCCTTTAATGAAAAAAGAAATTTCACCAACCCCCAGTTTTGACCTAAGCCAGTTCATAAATTAAACAATAAATTACACTCCTGTACAACTTTATTCATTTCACTGATAGGTCATATCACTTTGCCTGAACCCAGTTGCCACCCCAAGTGTGCAGATGGCGCTGTTTGGTGCAAATATTTACCTCACACAGTTCTGGCGCTAGCTGTCAGGGGTGGCTACCACTTTCATTGCAGTCACTCTGCAATGTTTGTCCTTGCAGTTTCGGTCATTTTCTCTTGTCATTTATCATCCACCCACATCCGTTCTTTTCTTATTTGCCCACAGCTGTTCAGTTCTGTCCCTTGGTCACAGACACAGTGCAGGCATTGAGACTGTGTAGCATTGGTTGTAAGGTCATCCTTCAATTGACCTCTAATATGCATATAGATAGAAGGATAGAAGCATCAGCATGAAGATGAAAAATAAAAAATTCCTGTGGAGAGTTCATGCCCTTAAGAAGGTCCCTCCAAGACCCCAACTTGAGGAGCCTGGTCACATGGGCGTCTCACTGAGGGGTCAGGAGCTAAAGCTTGATGAGGTTTCTCAGTTCCACCTTTCTCACCTAGAGTCGCCCATTTCCCCTGTGCTTTGGCCATGGCCTCTAATATTGAAAGAGGAAGTGTGTGATTTAATTTCCGTCACATTGTTCCCCTAGACCAGGTGGTCATGGGGTCAGAATTATATTGGCAGCTATATTGCTCACATGATTTCTCTCCCCTACTTTTTTTTTTTAATTAGTTAAAATAGCTACTTTTTTAATGTGTATATTTTATTGATTCTTTACAGAGAAGAAGGGAGAGAGATAGAGAGTTAGAAACATCAATGAGAGAGAAACATCGATCAGCTGCTTCCTGCACACCCCCCACTAGAGATGTGCCTGCAACCAAGGTACCTGCCCTTGACCGGAATCGAACCTGGGATCCTTGAGTCTGCAGGCCGGCGCTCTATCCACTGAGCCAAACTGGTCAGGGCTAAAATAACTACTTTTAATGGTGGGGAAGACAGATGCGCAAATACATATGGGGGTAAGTAAAGGTGAACTTCTTGCTAATTTTGCCAGAATTGGAAATGAAAACATTCCTGACCAAGAAGGCGGTTCAGCCAAGGTGTAGCAAACAGACTTGCCTGACGGGAAGAGTGTAATAAGAGATAAAGGCCATTAGGTGTGAGAGGGGAGACATTACCCCCCTTAACAACACTTAGGAACTGAGATTTGATCTGAGGGCAGTTGAGAGCCTCAGCCAACCTCAAAGCCAGGAAGTGATGCGATGGAAGCATTTGAGGAATGTTCTTTGTGCTCCTGAGTGACAGCAGATTAGAGCAAAGAGAAGTGAAGTCAAAGGAAGCTTTGTGCCTGTGAACCAGTCAGACCTGAGCGGGGCTGTGGAGGGAGAGGCTGACTTCATGGCAGACTGAGGAAGGCGGGGAGACGGGCTAAGGCTGCGCCCCGGCCTGGCGTCTGGAAGGAGAGGGTCACCTGACAGGGGAGCCTTGGAGAAAGGATGAACGCAGGGCCCCCTGCATCTGGCTGTGAGCGATCTCACGGGCCACGAGAAATGGACGGAGTTGAAGATGACATGAGAGGGGAATTGGGGTTTCATCTACTTGCAGGTCATAATTTAACTCAGGCAAACAGGATATAAGAGTAGGACAGTCACAGCCCACACAGTCAGGCTTTCTGCCTAGCTCCCTTTCCTTTTTTATTAGTTTGTTTTTGTCTTCATAGCGATGGTCAGCTGCAGGGAACTAGAACGTCAGCTTTGGGACTTTTGTCACCACCTCCTCCCCAAATCTGGCCCTCCTTGGGGAGAGTCTCACGCATGACGTAGCTGACCAAGCATCCACCTAGTGTTCTGCTGAGGTCACACGAGAGGAATCCTGCCCAGATGTGTACCCCAGAATGAACTGGTTAGATTGCGTCTTTCTGCTTTGCTTTCCGGAAACGCGTGAAAATGTGTCCTGTCCATCGTTCGTGAATTGTGATTTTTAACTTGACTTTGTTTCTTGTGTTTAGATGAGACCTGCCAGAGCCAAATTTGACTTTAAAGCTCAGACACTGAAGTAAGTGCCACTGGTCCTATTTGTCTGTCATTTTAACAGCCTCTCTATACGCAGGCGTCCACTTAGAGAGAAGAGCTGGGGAAGTAGCAATGATGAAAACCAGTCGTTCATGGCGTTTGCCGTGTGCCGAGCACTGTTCTGAGTGCTGTGCGCTATGTTCTGCTGTGGCACAGAGCTCCCGTGGGCAGCAGTGGTCAGCAGCCATCCCGTTGTCCTGCTGGTGGGAGGCCCCACATCTGACGATGAGGGAGACCTCCCATCCTCAGACACAGGAACTGCTGTGTGGAGGCTGCTGGGCCGCGATCTCCAGCACAAACCAGGCCACAACTTCCAGGACGTGGGCCCCAGTCTAGTGCCGGGGTATGTTTGTCATGACGCCTGCAGCCCTTTAGCTCGGCAGCTAACAAGAGGCGGTGGCATTATGTCCCAGAAAGAATATGGGCTTTGGAGTGCTAACTGCCACCCTTGTCTCTGTGTCCATGGCCTTTCCTGCCTCAAATTTTCTCATCTGTAAAATGGGCATAAAGATGCCTCTCTTGAAGGGCAGCCAAGGTACTACACTTACAAAACGTTATGCATGATGTAACCAGAGAGGGTAACAAAGATTTATAAAATAGACTTTAGTTTAATCAAGTAGACACCTTCATCCCCCTTCTTTTTAATTAAGAAAGGTCCATGTAGTATTCATTGAATGGTATCGTATTGACAATATTACATTTACCTACATTTCATTTTTTAAAGTCTTAAAACAATTTTTTTTTAGAGCAACCCTGTCAAGTAGAAGAGATGAGAACTCTGAGGTAGACAGGACGGTCACCACTTCCCACAATGCGGGTGCTGGAGAGGGCGCCTCCCTCTGGACGGGGCTTTCGTCCTGCCCCGCTGCCGCCAAACAGAGCAGCGTCCCTGCAGGAGGCAGCACCAGACCCGTAGGCTCGAGTCTTAAACTTCTGCAGTCACTGGGTTCTCTTTCCCCCACAGTCTGTCACTCAGAAGAGTTCTTAACAGCGGGGCCCTTGCGGCTCCCACCTGCCTGAGCAGCTGCAAGTCACGTAGGTGGCCGTGTTGGGCCTGCAGACCGCCAGCACCCGTGGCTATGCCGAGGGTCCTGCTCCCCGGGTGACCATGGTTGGGAGTAAAGGGAGGTCATTTCAGAGCACCCCAAGGAGGACGATGGCCAAAATCTGGCCAAACACATTCCTTCTCCCAGAGACAGATGCCCGATCCCGTCACGGGCCTCTTTCGGATCAGAGTCCCGTCTACCAATGAGAGACCACAAAGGCGGCCTTGTTCCTTCGTTCAGCACAGCGCTGGCTTTGTGTAAGGTTTTCCAGATGTGGCCCCATTGTTCAGCCAGCATCTCTCACGTCCATGGGACTTCCTGGCACAGGGCAAAGCAGCCACACCCCTCCAGACCGCAGGCAGAGACCTTGCTCTCCCGGCGGTTGGTGTGGCACAAATGGAAAAGATCTATGCGTGTGTGTTTTCAATTCAAGAAAATTTCAAGTTACAATTTTTGTTCTCATTTTATGTCATCTTATTGTCTCTATTTTTTTTAAAGGGAGTCCTGATTAGAGGTTAACATCATCATTATTGAGGCAAACAAAGGGATGGATATGGAGAGGTTGGAAAGGGGGCATGAAGAACATTTGAAAATCTGCTTTTCTTTCCAAGATCCCTTTATGCTGACAGGAAGTGAATTAACATTTACTGAGTGCTAACTACATGCCAGGCACTGGGCTGGGTGTTTTATTCGTAGTTTGTTGCTGAATTCTCCAACTCTGAGTTAGCTCCTATTTTGATAAAGTATCTGAGAGATAGCATTTGGCCCAAGGTTCCAGAGCTAGTAGATGGTATAACTGGATTTTGAACCCAGATCTGCCCAATTTTAGCCTCTCTACTGCACGATGATGGATGGATGGTGAGATGGATGGAACAATCGGGAATATTGATATCGGAGAAATAATTTGATGATAATTTAAAGCATTGAAGGCATGCCTTGGCAGGGCAGAGAAGAGGGTAGGGGAGGCAGTAAAAGTGTTGAAAAGGAAATGCTTGTCATCATTGAATGAACATCAGTTACGACTAGTGAGTGCGTTGCTAGGTGTTATGTAAACCGTGAGCATAGCACAGCATTCGCAAGAACTACTTAGAGAAACCACAACAAGCGAATAGGCTCCTGAGCACTTTCCAGAACTGGTCAGCTTGAAAGTTAGCACCCAGCCTCTGAAAGCCCAGAAAAGTGCCAGAGATGATGTAATTTCCACTTCCCAATAGGAAGCCCCACTTGTGTCAGGTGGTCCTTTTGGCCTCACTTCACGTCTTTTGCTAAAAAAAAAAAAAAAAAAAAAAAAAAAAAAAAAAAAAAAAACTACATGTCTGAACCTCACAGGCATTAAAACCTCTGCTAAAATGCATACCCTCTGTTGACAGGGAACTTCCTCTGCAGAAGGGAGACATTGTTTACATTTACAAGCAGATCGACCAGAACTGGTACGAAGGCGAGCACCATGGCCGAGTGGGCATCTTCCCGCGCACCTACATCGAGGTACCGCTGCCCCTTTCTTCCACTAGGGAAAGGCCGGCCGTGCCCAAAGGGCCATTTGTTTACCGAGAACTTGTGTTTTGTTTCCTCTCATGTTCCCCCTTTCTTCCCTTTGACCTCTTTGCCTTTCTCAGCTTCTTCCTCCTGCGGAGAAGGCTCAGCCCAAAAAGTTGGCACCGGTGCAGATTTTGGAATACGGAGAAGCTATTGCAAAGTTCAACTTCAATGGGGATACGCAAGTAGAAATGTCCTTCCGCAAGGTAAGCCCTCTCCCCCGTGCCGCGGGCTCTGCGGGCGGCCCTGTTCTCGTGGCAGGTGGCATTGCAGGGCAGCAACCCCTTAAAGATGCACCAGTCAAGGGGGCATGACGGGCGCAGCTGGATGATTTTGAGATACTTTTAAAAATAAACCTTAGGCTAGCGTTCGGGTTTAGCCACAGTAGCCAGGGTTTGGCTTGCGTATTTTGAACATAATTAAGCTGGCAGAGACATGTTCTTCCCAGGAATTCCAACACTTTGCCTGTCAAAGTTCTCTGGCTTTCCAAAGTTATTCATTTCATTGAGGACTGAGGAAAGTGAGTACATGCCTTAGCTGAAGATGAGCCCCTCACAGAAAAGTAGAAATACTGGAAGCAACGAGTGTCGGTTGAATGGCAGCTGATTCGGTGCGTGCGTGTGCAGTGGAATGTCCCACAGCGGCCCAGCGCGCTGCCAACACTTAGAAACATGGTGTTCTTTTTCTTGAGAAAGAACGAGGCTCACTACATGTTGTTAAGTATAAAAAAAAAAAATGAATTGGAAAAGGGAAATACAGTGCATACTCAGCTTTTATATAAAAAAAAAAAAAATATATATATATATATATATATATATATATATATATATATATATGTGTGTGTGTGTGTGTGTGTGTGTGTGTGTGCAAGTCCAATTCACAGATACAGAATTCAACCTGGGAAGTACATATATCAAATTATTAACAGTAGTTACCCCAAGTGATAATATTATAGGTAACAATTACTTCGGCTTTTTATTTGCTTGTGTTTTCATTTTTCTATAATGATACAAGAAAAAATAAAGTTAGAAAAAGGAAGAAAAAAGAGAACCCCTCCCAAAAAAACCTTTGCCTTAGAGAAGAAGTTTGCATATCTGTCCATTTTGCAATCAGTGAGTGAAAACACTCCATTTGCCTGCTAGCTTGGGGAAATGAGTCTGACCTTCTTCATGGAAATATTTACAGGCCAAGCTCAACATCCAGCACCCAGGTAGCTCCACAGCTGGGAACATCTCCATCCCACAGATAGTAATTCTCTCCAGGTCTAGCAAGGAAGGTTCATGTGAGCAAAGAATGTGCTAAATTAGCAGCACAGCGAGGGGTGCAGGCAGGGCCTCAGGGTGCTGGGGCAGGGAGGGACACGGACCGTGCCTTGCTGTGTCTTCCAGGGTGAGAGGATCACGCTGCTCCGACAGGTGGACGAGAACTGGTACGAAGGGAGGATCCCGGGCACGACCCGGCAAGGCATCTTCCCCATCACCTACGTGGACGTGCTCAAAAGGCCACTGGTGAAACACCCGGTGGATTACATCGACCTGCCTTACTCCTCCCCAAGTCGAAGTGCCACCGTGAGCCCACAGGTACCTACGCGTCTCGTCACTGGTTTTCACAAGCGGCGTGACAGCCCCTCGGTGCTGAGGGCGCAGCCCCCCCGAGGGCGGCTCCTCAGCCCACGACTGAGAACCGTGCTCGGCAGGGGGCATAAACAGACCGGGGCCTGTCTTCATGCATACAAATGGCACTTGTCACACACTTGGTTGGAGAAATATTATCACACACCTGGTTGGGGAAAAGGGAGAGCTTCGGGAGATTGCTCTGGGATAAGGTGACAGAGGGAGAGAAATCGGAGCCTTTGGCAGCTGGTCCAGGACTCTGTGCCGGGCGTACCCAATGAAGCGGGCGGGGTGCCTCCACTGTTCTTACGTGATCAGTCGTCCTCGGTCACCACATTGGTCGAGGTTGGCTGCAAAAGATACAGACCCAGAGTACCCTTTGCAAGCAGAGACCAGGTTAAAAAGTAACGGATAACATGTCTGTGTTATATCAAAAAATGTTCACTTTCCTGAACATTATGAGCGAACTGGTTTTAAAACATAAGTTATTTCAAATCCCCACTTCCCCAAAGCCACGAAAAATGAGGACCTGGGGCTCGGGAGAGGCATGTGGGTGACTTCCTGCCAGAGCCCCGCCTGCTGCCACTGGGCTGACAGGAGGAAGGAGAGCAGGCCCGGGCCCGGGGACAGTGGATGGTCTTCTCTCCTCTCCTCCCTGTCACTTTCTCCTCTCTGATCCCCAGGGCTGACCCAGGAGTGGGTGCTGGCATAGGGTGTGAGATCGTGCAGCAAATTCTACTTTATATGACAGGGACTTCAACTCGATGTTTTGCCTGACAATAGCCAAGTGAGACTATAAACTGACCACCTGCTCATTCTCCTCTCTGAAAGGCTCTTTGCTGAGCCCTCTGGAGAGAATAAAACCCAGACAAGGCCAGGGCAGTGGAAAGTCATCGTTTTTCCTCAGTTCTGGATCAGGGCCCTGGTTCTGGGTTAGGGCCCTGGTTCTGGGTCAGGGCCTCGGTTCTGGGTCAGGGCCCTGGTTCTGGGTCAGGCCCTGGTTCTGGGTCAGGGCCTCGATTGCCCAGGTGGCTGGTGGGGCAGACAGGCAGTTTCCAGTGTGCCCCTTTGGAAGTGACTCTGCAGACCAGGTGGCATGCATGTAAGTGCCCAATGGGACCTCTTTCCTTTATCTCTTCCCCCACTCCACTCACTTCTTCATCCTCCCCACCTGCACATGATCACGCATACACACACACACACACACACACACACACACACACACGTGTGCGCGCACACGCACACGCACATCCCAGCTTCTCTCCGAACCTAAGCAGACAGCTTCCTCTGGACACCATGTCCCGCTCTCTCCATCTCAGCCTCTCTGCGTGTCCCTGTGGTTATTCCCTCCTTTCTTCCTTAAGCTGACTCTACCTTGTGCTTCTTCCTTTTGTTTTCCTCTCTCTCCTTTTTAAGTTTCCCAGTCATAGCAAGCTCATCCTGCCAGCCTCCTCATCTCTGCCTCACCCCCGCCGAGCCCTGTCCCCTGAGATGCAGGCTGTCACCTCGGAGTGGATCTCGCTGACCGTGGGGGTCCCAGGCCGGCGTCCCCTGGCCCTGACCCCCCCTCTGCCTCCTCTGCCAGAGGCGTCTGTCTATTACTCTGACCACCTTGCCTTTTTGACAAGGCCTAGTCCCTCCCTGTCCCTCAGCCTCCCCCATTCGAGTTGGTCGGGTCGTTCCACCCCCCACTCCATCGTCTCCCCACTGGCCCTCCCTGCCCCCCACCGAGCCTACTCCCCGGTGCCCGGTGCCCAGGCCTCCCTTCACATCAACGGAGACAGTGGCAGCCACATGCCCCCTCCAGGCTTCCCGCAGGGCAGCCTCTCCCAGCCTCTGCTCGGGAGCCCCGATAGCGTCATCTCGGAGCTTAGCAATGCCTTTAGCAGCCAGGGCCCATGGCGAGAGGAAAGCAGACAGTACGGCAGGAAAGCAGAGAGGGAGGCAGGTGAGAGGCGCCCGGGCGGACCCACGATCTCTAAGAAGAGCTGCTTGAAACCTTCAGACGTGGTCAGGTGCCTGAGCACCGAACAGAGACCCTCAGACCTCTGCACCCCCGCGGAGAGCCAGCCCGGCCAGGCCCTGGGCAGCGCTTTCCCGGGAAGGGAGGCTGAGCACACGGCGCCGCGTAGAGGTGGCGAGCAGGCCGAGCGGAAGGCTGCTCCGTGCGGTGTGCGCCAGGTAGGCTGCAGCATGGCGTGTGTGCCCCGGCATCTCCATCGGCAGGCAGGCCAGACCTCTCACCCACGGTCACCTGCCGAGGCCGTGTGATGCCAGGGAGACCCACTTGCTTGTCTTGGGAGCAGAAATACCCATGAGGGAACGGGGGTGGCCTTGAGGAAGGGTCAGGGCTGGGAAGTCAGGGGCAGAAGACAGGCTCCGTTCTGGCCTTTGGAGGGGATTCCCAATCCCCCCCGCTGTCTGCCACACCAGCCCCTGGAAAGGAAGGAGGCCTCCCCCTCCCAGCCCTGCTGCGGAGATCAGCTCGGTTTGCTCGGACTAACAGCTAGAACCCAGGCTTCGGTGTGCTCAGTGTGGTTTGCTTCTGTGTGAGAACTGCTCCGTGGCGCTGCCGTGCCCTCCGTGGTCTGCGTCCTGTCTGTCTGTGGGTGCACAGGCCTTTGTTCACCGTGAACAAGTGCGCTTTGCTTCTGGAGGAGCGTCCAGATTTGGGTCCCTGGATGGGCATGCCAGCTCCTCACGTGCCTGTCCTCTCCTCTGTCCGTGTCAGCTGCAAAGATCTCCGAGTGTGGACCAAGGCGGCTGCAGGGTGTTTGCACGCTGAGAACTTGGTATTGGGGGAGGTGAGCGTGGCAATTCGATCACGATTCTTATCACCCTGCTGTTCAGTACCCCAGCTATCCAAGAATCAGGTGTGGATGTCTGCTTACCTCCTAATGTCTAGTGACTTGGGACTTACTTCCCTTTCAGAGCCTCAGTTTCCCCATTTTTAAAGTGGACCTGATGACAACTACCTCAGAGAGTGGTCGGGAGGGTTCCAGGAAGTCACGTGTGAGAAATGCTAGCACAGAGGCTGGGGCAGAGCATGGTCAGCATTCTGTAAATGGAAACCACCCATCCCGGGTGACCTAGAGCTGCTTCTGGAACTGAGAAGATTCTAGAACGTCTTTAGCACCCAATGGAATTCTTGACGATGTCGCTCCAAACAGTTTGTTGTCTGCTGTGTATGATGCCCACAGGAGAATGCTTGATCTCAGACCTGGTGTCCCCATTTCCCTTTGAAGTTTCAGTTTTCACTCAACAAATATTTGCTCAAGACCTGTAGACACCGCCTTGGGGCAGGGGGCAGAAGTCATTCCATCCCTGTCCTCAAGATCCTGGGCCGCAGCTCCAGGACTGCAGTAATGGAGGGGCCCTTGGAGCCCACAGAGACCCAAGTGCAAGTGAGGCCAGACCTCCAGCTCCAGCCCGCAGGGGGAGGGGCCGTGTGCTGCGGGAGGGCAGTGTGGGCAGTGTAATCACCAGGCCAGCCTCACGCTGGCAGTCACTGAACCTCCCAGCGAGGGCTTCTCCTGTGCAAGGCGGTCCCTCCCACTGGGGTGGCTGTGAGGATAATCTCGGAGGTGTGGTGGCTGGCCCAGGGAGGGCTCCACAGGGTGGATGAGGTCCTGAGGGGAACAGCAGCACCTGGGGAGGCTGAGCCTGCAGGCGCCCCTGGAGCGTGTGTTCACTGGGGAAGAAAAGGGTGCGGCCGGGGAGGGAAAGAATAGCTCATTGGGGAGACGTGCTGAAGCGGCTGGTGGGACAGAATTGAATGTCTGACACAGGAACAGTTCTGTAAACGTTCCCGGTCAGTCGTGGTGCCCGGAGACCTCGTCATTGTTAGCAGCGAGTCACGGCGACCTGCCTCTGGGCCCAGCAGCACAGGAAGTGCGTGGTGCCAAGCCCTGGGCCGGGCTGGGGGTGTGCCCTCTCCCTTCCTGACGGAGGGGACGAGAGGAGGAGCTAGCCATGCTGAGGCCGGACTTGATAAAATTGATGTTCCGTTCTTGGTGGCCTTCAGGCCTCTCCAGTGGACCACTTCCCGTCCCTCCCTGTCTCCTCTCTCCCATGTGGCACCCAGGCTGTGGGCCTTCTCCCTGTGAGAGCGGGAGGGCTGTGGGGAAGGGGCTCCTGCCCACACACCGCCCTCCCAGCCCCTTCCCCTCTCTCCTGTGCCTGAGAACAGGACCCCGACACTGAGGAAATGGGATCCTTCAAAAGCAGCTCCCTGCCTCGCAAGGCCCTCTGGGTGACAGCTCAAGATGGAAAGGACTAAGTGACACTGTTCTTTGGTGGCCCGTCAAGGTGGTGCGAGCCCAGGCTGAGTCACTTGAGATAAATGTGCTCCAGACCAGCCTGTCACCAGGAGCACTGCCGGCCACTCTTCTGCTGTGGGATTGAACCAAAAATTCAAGGGTATCTGACCAGTGAGTAGAGGAAATTTTGCCCGAGAGCCTTAAAACTGCAGATGTTCTGAAACACTGCGATCATTTCTCTTCCATCCAAGCATCAGGGATGGCCAGGCCCCCGAGCTAAGTCTGAGAGAGACAGAGGGGAGATCATCAGGGCTCTTCCTGTTGTTCTGGGGAAAGCATCCCTTAGGCTCAGCGGCCCATGTGCCGGGCTGTGCGCACAGCAGCCAGCCTCACCTCTCAGCCCCCCTGCCGTGTGCCTGGGCGCAGCCACCGGCCTGCACTTCTCCACTCGGATGTCCTTCCAGAAGCGTTTCCTGACGTCCTCCCGCCCTGCGAGGCAGAGTAAAGGCTCTGGCCTTGTGCTTCCACAGCCCGGGCGCCTCCCCTGCAGGGCACGTCTTCGGCTCTCCGGCACCTGCCCCTTCGCAGGTCTGGGTCACCAGGAGAGTGAGAGACCTCCGGTGGGAGTCCGGGACGCGTGATAAATGGAAGGCGCCCCATAAATACTTGTTGGATGAAAGAAAAGATAAAAGATGACTGACCCCAACT